CCATGGTCCTTCCCTTAAGGCTGAGGCAGCTCTGCTTCCCATTTCCTTGGTCTCTCTGCTTATTAATGCCCAAGGCAACCCACTCCACGGGAAAACTTCCTGCCCCAAAAGCATTGGGCCGGCCAACCTGCTACTCCATCCCATGCTGGTCTCTTTTACCAATTAACGCCTGACAGCAACCCACTCCACCAGCAAGCCTCCTGCACAATGACACCTGGCATTCTCCTCTGTGGGCTGGTAAGCCTGTTGCCATTTAATGCCGGTCTCTGGGCTCTGCTACTGCTGTCTCTCATGCAGGTGTCTTGACTCTGCTCCTGCCGTCTCTCATGCTGCAAGCCGGGGTCTCTGTGCCAGGGTCTCAGGTCAAGGACGCACTCCACTCCTGTTTCTACATTTTAGGTATCTGTCAGAGCAGCACCCCATCTCTCAGTACCAAATTCTGCTCTGGTTACCTAGTGCCACTCTGACAGGAATATACCACAAATAGGATGACCTTAACAATAGGAGTTTCTTCTTAAAATTTGGAGGCTTTAAGTCCGAGTTCAAAGTGCCAGGCTCTAGGGGCTGGGTGAAAGAAAGCCCCTCAACTTTGGGCTTCAGCCCCGCCTCTTGCTCCCAGCCCACTGAAGCTAGAGGCTTTTCTTCACTCAGGCAGCTACTGGCTGCTGAGGCTGAGAAGCCCAATGTTGACAAATAAAATGGCACAATACTGATGTTACCAAACCACACAGCAAGCCATTAATTTAAGTCCATTTAAGTCCCAAGGTTGGCAGAGTATGGCAGGCTGCTGAACAACACGGCTACACGCAGGATCCAAGTGTGCCATAGGCTAGAAACTATTCCCAAGGCTTCTCCTTAAATACAGGAAGCAGACCACATCACAAAGGCAGCTACTCAGCTGCTTGTGGTAGATCCCACCATGGAGTTGATTGCCACTCTCATCATGGGGAATAACTACCACCAGCTGCCCAGCCGCTCAACCAGGCCCAGCCAAGTTGACACACAAACATAACCACTACACCCATTTTGCCTTTAGGTCTCCCAACAGTTCCCAAGGCTGATACAAAGCTCCTGATCTCCTCTTTACACTCCCTGCCCTGGTGGCAAGAATCAGTCTGTAAAGTCTGATGATTCCTCTAGGTGGCGGTGTTGTCTCGCACACAAGGGACTTCCTTTTTTTAAAAAAATCTGTTTACAAAGAGGCCTGTGAGCCTATCCTTTCCCTGCAACCTTGTCAGTAAAATCTCTCCAGTGAAGAACTGTGGAACCCCTGATGATCATGAGCACTCTCCCGCCTGCCTTGTCTCCCAAATCCTCTCTGTTCTGTCAGGACTGTCAGGGGCCAGCCGAGCGTGAACACTCCCAGGCCGGTGCAGTCGGGCCTTGCTATGCATCTTGGCCCTCTTGGGGAGGCAAGAGGAGCAAGGAAAAACCGATGAAACAGCTTCCTTCTTTCCTTTTTTATGCTTCACAGACCTTGTTCTTCAAATCTAGCTTGCTAATCATTTTAATATTTTAAATTTATGTTGATACTCCAAATAAGTGGGGTTTGGGGGGATAGGGAGAAGGAAGGCTCACACACCGGTGCCCTGACCCTCTCCCCTCCAAGGCAACGCTGAACCCTATAATTATGTTGCTCCTCAGGCAGAGGCCTGCTTAAGGCATCTCCTGTGTTTTAGAATCGACTCGCTGGGGTTTGGTTTTTGGTACTGTGCTTTACAAAGATGATTGGGCCTTCTCCCATTCTGGAGTTGAGGGCCATCTACTTCATCTTTCCAGCTAGGAGTTATCACCTTCATTTCCTACTCATCTCCCTTCCTTTCTAGTCTCCCACATTTGTCACCTAAAGCTGTCGATTTCACCTTAGATATATCTCATTAATTCACCCCTTCCCTTTTTCTGCACTCTTTCCTTTTTATACTCCATATCAAAACCACTGCCATCCAGTTGAATCAACTATAGGACAAAGTAGAATTGCCTCTATAGGGTTCCCAAGACTGTGAATCTTTATGGTCCCACCAAGGAGCTGGTGGATTCAAACTGCTGGCCTTTTGGTTAACAGCCTATATTTTAACCACTGTGCCACCAGGGCCACTTTTGTAAACTTCAGATTGTATATTAAACAGGTGTTACACATACAGAAGGCGAGTATATAAGGCAGCAGGGAGAGGTGGGGACTGTGGTGAACTGAAAAGCATGTTAATATCATGTGAGAATACAGGCCCAAATTTTTTTTTTTTTTTTAATTTTATTTTGATTTGGGTGAAGATTTACAGAGCAAATTCACTTTTCATACAGCAGTTCACATATACTTTGTCTCATGTCATTAACCAAAATTTACAATGCAACAACAGCTCCCCTCCCACTTCCTCCCCATAGCCACCTCTTCCCAGTGTCCATCCCTCCATACTCTTCTGCGCCCTGAGCTGTCTCCCTGTGCATAAGCAGCCCTTCCTTCTCCCATGATTGTTCTCTCCAGGGTGTGTGTCTACTTGAGGTAAATGTTTAACTCACGTGCCTGTACTTTGTTTGGCTGGAAACCACAGGTGTGGGTTCAATCCCAGACCTGAAGGGCAGCTAGGGGCCATAGTCTCAGTGGTTTCACCAGGCTCTATTGGACCAGCAAACCTGGTCCCCACCTTCTTTTTTTTTTGCCTCCAAATGATTTTGAGTTTTGTTCCACATTGTTCTCCCTCTCTATGCAGGATCTCCTACATCCCTTCCAAGTGGATGACAGTGGTAGCCGGGCACCGTCAAGTTCTTCTGGTCTCATAGTTGTATAGGTTGCAGATCAGATGGTGTACCAGTCGCTAGGACTGATTGTTTACATTCATTTGGTTTTCTTCTTTCTTCTTGACGAGGAGACATCCATTGTTCCATCAAGATGGCAGCTTGCTAGCTTTTAAGATCCCAGTTGCTACTCACCAAAGTAGGAGGTGGAACAATGTTTTGTATAGTATGTTATCAGGCCCAAATTTTAAAATCTGTCAGAAATCTTTTTTTTTTTTTCCTTAATGTGAAATATGCCAGGTTTTCATATTGATAACTAATTTTAAAATTTTTAAAACAAGTAGATACCACAAGGAACAAACCAAACCCATTGGTAGTCTGAATTTCACACACAGGTTGCCAGTTTGCCAGCTTTTGACTACTGCTTTGAACATCATCCTAGCCAAGACTCTTAACATTTCTTTTTTCTCTAAAATTGTTTCTTGTGATTTAGGTGAAAATTTTACAGAGCAAATTCATTTTCCATACAGCAGTTCATACACATTTTGTTTCATGACACTGACTGCAGTTTCCCACAATGCAACAGCTCCCCTTCCACTTCCTGCCTGTAGTTCCCTCTTCCCTGTGTCCTCCTTTCCTATGCACTCCTGCCCCCTGAGCTATCCCCCTGTGCAAACACTGTCCTTCTGTTCTCCCATGATTGATCACTCCAAGGAGTATACCTACCTGATGTAAATATTCACCCAGTATGCCTGTCTATTGTTTGCCTGGAAGCCACAGGAGTGAGTTCAATTCCAAACCTGAAGGGTAACTAGGTACCAGTTCCAGACCTGAAGGGTAACTATGGGCCATAGTCTTGGGGATCTCACCAGGCTCTATCAGACTAGTAAACCTGGTCTGTTCTTTTTTTTTTTTTATGATTTTTGTTTCATTCCACATTGTTCTCCCACTCTATCCAGGATCTCGCCTTTCTGAGTGGTTGAGAGTGGTAGCTGGGTACTATCTAGTTCTGGTCTCATCATCATAGAAGCTGAGGATCACATGGTCTACTAGTCCCTGGGACTAAGTGTTTCCATGTGTCTTTGATTTTTTTCATTCTTCTTTGCTCTGGACAAGGAGAGACCCATTGTTGCATCTTAGATAGCCACTTGCAAGCTTTTGAGACCTTAATCGCTACTCACCAAAGTAGGATGTAGAACAATGTTTTTGTGCAGAATGTTATGCCAATTGAACTTGATGTCCCTTGTGACTGTGGTCCTGAGCCCCCAGGTCCAACTACTCACTCCCTCAGAGTGGTTGACTGTGGCCAAGCAGTTATCATAACTTTGCCTCTTGTGAACTCTGTTATATAATTGGACATTCTTACAGCACATACAAATATGCATGTAGAAATATCGTCTGCCAACCTTATATATATGATCATGGATATATTCACTTTTGCCTAGGCATACCTGATCATTCAGCCTGTCTACCCATCTACTTACCTGTATATTAATGTGTGTTATCACTAACAAGGCAGTATTGTATATGTAAAAGGCTTTATCTTTGCTGTTTTTACCTCTCGTGTGCCTCTCTGTGTCTTTCTCTTAACGTTTTTTCTTAGGTCTTACCTCTAGACTCATTCTCTCACATTTACTTGCTCACAGCCACCAGAGAAGCTTCCTAATAACCAAGTCACCCATTCATTCTTTTGCTTAACACCTCCCCTGCCACTGCTCTCATCTCCCTTTTACCACCACCACCAGTTACAAGATGAAATCTAAGTCACTCAGGCCAGCCTATCAGGCCTGTCCTAACAGACCTCAGCCTTACTCCAACCAGCACTCTCCCCTGGCAAACATCTATTAGCCCCTTTGGCCTTCCCCAGTCACCTGTGTCACAACAGTTGTGTCTATTTACATGTCTGTCTTTCCCGTTAGACTGAGGCAGTCCTTGGCACAAATGACCATGTCTTAGTCATTAGTCATTAGTGTTGGGGGTGGGGAGGAGTACCTATCACTTAAAAGGTGTCTGGAAAATATTTTTAAATAAATTGAAAGATGAGTGAATAATGACTATTAGCCACATCAAATAGAACTATCTTAAGGATGTTTATTTTCCCTCCCAATTTATTCATAATTAAGAACCAAGCATCCTTTTGATAAATTTTCTTCTTTCCCCTCACTGGTCCCTATCTTCTTGGGTGCAGAGGTGTTGAAGATGGGCAGGTAACCTGGGACCCAGGGTGAGCCAGCCCCTGTCCCAGCAAGGTCCTCTTATGGACAGTTGTCTCAGGCTTCCTTAATCCTCTTTCTCTTCAGTTTTGGTTTATGAGGAAGTTTCCTTAAAGGACCTAAAGAAGAGAAGGCCACAGAGATAGTCCTGATGACATCACAAATAGTAAAAGAATCTCAATCTGTAACATTTGGGGATGGGGGTGCCGTGGGGTTAGAGAGGAGGAACAACAAAATCTTATCTTACTTTGAATCTATGGGTCCCTTCCTCTTTGGAAATCCTGTGGGTAGAAAGATGACACGACTCCCAATTTACAGATGCGAAATCTCACCCAGACACAGAGAAAGGAAATTACCTGCCTGGTACCCTTATGATAAATTGAAACACGGTCAAGACCAGGACCCAAGTTCCTTGCCCTCTGGCTTCAGATTCTGACACCTCCCTATTCCTCTTCCAGGTTTGATGCCCCAATTCCCTGCACTTTACTGTTAGTACTGTTTGGTAACATCATTGGCATCTTTTTACTTAAGAACTGACTGTATAACTGTAGTGCCAGAGAAACACAGAGGCCACTTTCTTTTTCTTGTTTTACAATTCAGTGCCTTTAAGTATGTTCAACATGTTGTACAAACATCATTCCTACCCTTTCCCAAATTTTCTCATCACCTTTAACAGAAACTTAGTACCCCTTAAGCAGTATCTCCCCGTCTCCCCCTCCTATCCATCCTCGGCAACACTAATAAACTTCTGTCTCTACACTGTTTGCCTATTCTGGATGTTTCATATAAATGGGATCATACACTATATGTCTTTTGTGTCATCGTTTTTTCACTCAGCACAATATTTGCAAGCTTTATCCAAGTCATGGCATTTCAGAATTTCATTTCTCTTACGGGGGAATAACAATCCTTTGTATGTATATATCATATTTGTTCATCTGTTACTGAACACTTAGGTTGTTTCCACCTTTTGGCTATTGTAAATCATGCTGCAGTGAACATTGGTGTGCAAATATCCACACAGGTTACTTTCTCATTGCAAGGAGTAGACTCAGTGATTAATCTTAGTCCAGTCACAGTGGTTCCACCAGATAATATGTTTACTCATCCAAAACAGTGTATAGAACACAAGTTCCATCTCTGATGTATTACAGCCCCAAAAATGATTGGCTTGAGTCCATCAAGATTTTAGAGCTAAAGTCCCATTTATAGGTAGAGGAATAAACTAAAAGACGTCAAACACAGGCAACAAGAAAAAAATCAGAAAGGGATATTGTGGTGGTTTTGTTTGTGTGTCAACTTGGCTGGGCCTGGTTGAGTGGCTGGGCAGCTGGATGTAGTATTCCCCATGATGAGACTGGTAAACAACTCTATGGTGGAATCTACTAGGAGCAGCCTTTGGGATATGGTCTGCTTCCTGTATTTAAGCAGAAGCCTTAGGAATGGTCTGTAGCCTATGGCATGCTTGGACCCTGCACGTAGCCGTGTCATTGCTCAGCAGCCTGCTATGCTCTGCCGATGTTGGGACTTACAATGGACTTAAGTTAATGGCCTGCCATGTGGTTTGGTAACATCAGGACTGTGCCTTTTTACCTGTCAACTTTGGGGCTTCTCAGCCTCAGCAGCCAGCAGCTGTCTGAGCGAAGAAATGTCTCTAGCTCCAGTGGGCTGGAAGCAGGAGGCAGAGCTGGACCCAAGGTTGAGGGGCTTTCACCCAGCCCCTAGAGCCTGGCACTTTGAACTTTGACTTAAAGCCTCCAAATTGTAAGAATAAACTCCTGTTTGTTTAGGCCATCCCATTTGTGGTATATTTCTTGTCAGAGCGGCACTAGGTAGCCAGAACAGATATGCTCTGCAAAACAGTAGTCTGATCTCTTCAATAAGTTTTGTGGTGTGAAAGGGGACTCTGTTAGGTTAAAAGAGATGCAAGAGATGTAACAGATGCAATATCAATCTAACTATTAGAAGAACTAGGAGCTCTGGTGGCATAGTGCCTAAGGCATCTGACTGCTAACCAGAAGGCTGGAGGTTCAAACCCACCAGCCACTCCTCGGAAGGAAGGTTGGGCAATCTACTTCCCTAGTGATACTGCTTCGGCAACCCAAGGACTATGAGTAGGATCTGACTCAAGAGCAGTGGGTGGGTGTGTATTAGCAGAACTGAGAACTGTGACAAGATGAAAGGTTGATATTATTAACTGAAAAGAAAAAAAAAAGTTCAAAATAATATATGTAGCCTTGTCTTATTTTTAAAGTGCTCTGGTGGTGCGGCCGGTAAGGGATTTTGGCTGCTAAGCAGGTCGGTGGTGGTGGTACAAACCCACCAGCCACTCCATGGGAGAAAGATTTATATATAGCCTTGGAAACCCTGTGGGGATCTTTCTGAATCAGAATCAGCTCAATGGCAGTGGGTTTAGTTTGGGTGGGCTCCTTCTGGTTAAAATGCATGCATGTATAAGCATAAAAAGAGATCTGGAAGACATTAGCAGGACTGATAACTAAGCGATGTTTTTACTTCCTTTTTATTGCTTATCTGCATTACCTAATTTTCTATGATTTGTTTGTATTAACCAAAAGTTGTTATAAAACTTGCATGGACAGACACAAAAGGTTGCATATTGTATGACTGCATTCACTGAAATATCAAGAAGAGATCAATCTAAAGACATAATGAAGACTGGTGGTTGTCAGGGGCTGGAGGGGGAGGGGGAATGGGGGGAAACCGCCTCATGGGTAAGAGGTTTTACTGTGGAGTGATGAAAATGTTTTGGAACTGGATAAAGGTGATGGTTGCACAGCACTGTGAATATACTAACCACTATTGAGTTGTTAACTTTAAAAGGGTTAGTTTAATGCTGTGTAAATTTCACCTTAATAAATTACTTGGGGGAAAAAAAAAACTTGCATGAAAGTCAAACTTCTCAATCCACCATCCAATCCTTTTCCCTATCACACCCCTACCCTGCACCTCTCCAACCTGCTCTTAGATTCAGCTGCAAGCCCTCACCCCACTTACTTCTGCACACACCTTTCCTCTCACCTTTTCCCTCCTCCTCCACCATCTCCTTATCCCTTTCTTTAAAGCTTAGCCCAAACACACCTTCTCCAAACAGCCTGTCTTCATTAACATACCCTTTTCTCTAGGGCCTCTGATTGTCATTTGTAAAAGGGGAATAATAATACCATCGCACTGAGGTGTTGCAGGGCTTAAGTGAGAGCATGGTGTACAAAGCACCTGGTACTGAGAGAAGGCTGGCCCAGAAACCAGGAGCTCACTTTCCTCACTTGAGGTATAGACTGCTTGACCTACACCATGTTCATAATCGACGATTCTTTATTCTTTGAAGTCCTGTGGTATATTTTATTTCCTGAACTGTAGGCCCTGGGGCCATGGGCTCTCACAAGGTCCAGGTAGGGTCCTAGGCTGGGTAGCGACCTATCCCATGCCCTCTGCCCTGACCTATTGACCCTCTTATCTCTTACTGTGCCAGTGGGAGGGCTGCCCCGGAGGCCACCCAAGGGCTGCTGTTCTGGATTCACCTGGGCCAGCTGGGCCTTCAGAGAAACACCTGGGTCCAACTTAGGACCATGCTCTGAGGACCTCAGCCCACCCCATTGCCTTCACCCTCTCCACAAGTCTGGGCAAGTCAGCTGGCTGTGTGGCCCCAGTAACCAGGTCCCAGAAAAGTGAGGGGTGGGTAGGTCCAACTCCCCCTTGTACTTACACGCACAGGAGGACCCTCATAGGCCCAACCTTGTCCAGGGCCTCTCACTGACATGACTCTGTCCCAGAACCCCACAGCCTCCACCCAGAGAGGCAGACACCGAGGTCACCGCAGCCAAAGCTGCTGGGAAGGCCATAGCCAGGCCATCTGGCTGACTTACCACC